CCTTTTTGCTAGCCTTTCCCACTGGCAAGTATATTCAGAAAGGTGGCTATATCCTTTTTTTGTCTATTTAAAACATGTGTTTTGGCTGGAGATACAGCTCAGCAGTAGAGTGCTTGCCTAGAATGCACGAGGCCCTGGGGTTGATCTTTGGAAAGGGAGGAACAAGAACACCAAAACCTGCATGTACTCTTAGACACGTCAGCCGTATTGATGAGGAGGCGCAGGCCACACCTAAACAATGAGTCAGTCAGCAACATTGCCAGCAATAATGCTCTGTCTCACCTGCCTTCCCCAGGGCTATGTTAACCAACCTGTGTTTAAAGAGCTGCTAATGTAATTTATATAATTATGAGTGTTTATACTGCTCTTTATGCTCAGTGTTCAACATAGGGGCAACTTGGCACAGATGGGAATTTGGTGTGTTAGTATAATCTTCCTACAGACGTTTAAGATGCACTGCTTTTAAACTTCCAAATCCAAGATTAATATGCTTTTAAGCAGTATAGATATCTTGATATCAGTCATTTGTTTAATCGCAAGTAACAAAGAATACAATTTGTGTGTGTATGTGTGTGTGTGTGAGAGAGAGAGAGAGGAGGGAGGGAGGGAGGGAGAGAGAGAGAGAGAGAGAGAGAGAGAGAGAGCATATCTGGAGCTCACTGATTTGGCTAGACGAGCTGGCCAGCAAGACTCAGGGATCCTCCTATCTTGTATCACTAGTACTAATGTTACAAGTGAGTACTTCACTGGCTTTTTAATTTTTTAAATTTATTTTTATTTTTATGTGTATGAGTATTTTTCCTCCATGTATGTAAGTACATCATGTGCATCTAGTGCCTACAGAGGCCAGAAGAGGGTGTTGGATCCCCTGGAACTAGAAGGTTGTTAACTGCTATGTGGGTGCTGGGAACTGAACCTGGTCCTCTGCAAGAGCAGCCAGAGCTCTTAACTTCTGAGCCATCTCTTCAGCTCCACTTTGCTGGCTTTGTATGTATTTGAGATCTGAACTTGGTTCTTCATGCTTATGCAACAAGTACTTTATTGACTGAATCACTCCCCGCCCCCAGTACCAAAACAGAATACAATTCTATGTCTAGAATGTAGACTCTATAATAGACAAACAGCTAAACAGTGGCATCTTAATTAGTTGGCTAGATCTGTTTTTATGTATGAGACAACCACAGGGACTGATTTGACTTGCCTTTTAAAAACTTGTTTTTATTTTATTTAGAGATAGGGTCTCCCTGTAGTCCCAGCTGGCCTGGAACTGGGTATGTAGACCAGATGGCCTTGATCTCACAGAGATCTGCCTGCCTCTGCCTCCCGAGTGCTAGGATTAAAGGTGTGTACCATCACATCTGGCCCTTATTTACCTAATGTGCACTTGTGTGCCACGGTGCTTGTGTGGAGGTCAGAGCATAACTTGAAGGAGTCAGTTTTCTCTTTCTACCATGTAGGTTCCAGGACTGAAATTGGTTGTCAGGTTTGGTGGGAAGTGAGTACCCTCACCTACTGAGCCATCTTATTTGCCCTAGGTTTATTTTTATGGCCTGCTTTTTGTATTGCCTAGATTTTCCCCTCAGTTCTAATGTTCATATATCTATATCTATACATCTTATCTATTTATATCAATACAGATCTGTTTGCATTTCTATCAGCTTCTCAGGACTTTTTACACCTTTTGAACTCTGCTGTGACCTCTTAACCCTTTATAGCCATTCTGCAATCTACACATATACACATATTTACTGTGTGATGTATAATATATAATCAGAGAGTTGATGAGTTGATCTGTGTTTGTTTCAGCAAGGGTATCATGAGAATGGAAATGACTGGCAAATAGCTGCCATTGATACTGCCATACCTTGTGAATTTATTGTTATTCAGTCAATTCTGACATTGTGGAAAGATATAAATGTGTTTGTCTGTTCCTGATATAATGAGCTCATGACATTATTTTCACTTTTGTTTTTTTAAAAAAAAATATTTTTATTTTACATGTATCCGTGTATTGCCTGCACGTAGGTAAGTGCACCCGCGTCATGCAGTGCCCTTGGAGGACAGAAGAGGCTGATGGATCCCCTGGAACTGGAGTTAAGTTATGGACAGTTGTTAGCTGTCATGTGGGTACTGGGATTCGAACCTGAGTCTTCTGCAAGAACAGTCAGTGTTCTTAATTGCTGGGCCATCTCTCCAGCTCCTTGCTTTTGCTTTTTGAGACATGGTACCCCTGTGTAGCCCAGGGTAGCCTAGAACTCACAATCTTCAAGCCTGTTTCCCAATCCTGGAATTACAGGTGTGCACCATGCCCATCTTATAATTTTAAGCCACTGATACAGGTCTCTCAAGACTGCTATATACTAATTTTTATTTTCCAGGAGCAGAATTATTTTTGAAACAAGGTCTCACTGTAGCCCCAGCTGACCTGGAACTCGCTATGTAAACCAGGCTGGTCTTGATCTCCATCTCACAGAGATCTGCCTGCTTCTTCACCCATGTGCTGGAACTTAAGGTATTCTGGATACATTTTATTTTTATTTTATGTGTATGGGTGTTTTTCCTGCATAGATGCAAATGTATCACTCACATGTAGTACCCACAGAGGGCAGAAGAGGATCCCCTGAACTGGAGTAAACTATGGTTGTCAGCTACCATACGGGTACTGGGAACTGAACTCTGTCCTCTGGAAGAGCAGGAAGTCCTGAGACCTCTCTCCAGTCCCCCAGAATAATTTCTTCTCTTATAAATAGCAATTGTTCTGACCGGAAAAAAACAACCAGAAAAACTACCAAACTTTTCTTTATAGAAGCACTGAAACCAATTGCAAACTCAAGTTTACATTCTCCATAGCATCTAAAATTTTTGTTTTATTTTGACTTGAAAGCTGCCCTTCCATTTACAAATAACTTTAAGACACATCTTTCTCATTGGCTATTAACTAGAATATCACAACAGAGGTTACGTCCATCCCTAAGAGCAAGTCCAGTGTCATTATTTCAGCAACATGTAGTGTCACTGAAGCCATAGCTGAATTATGAATGTTACTCAACCAGTGTTGCATCCTACTTGTCAACAAATTACAGAGATGATTGCATTAGACTAGCTGTGCCAAATGGCACTGTTGGGTAATGGTGACTGGCATGGGGGGCAGGGTGGAAGGAAAATGTCTTTTGGTGCTACAGAAGATGAAGGACTCTATCCTCCCTGGAAAAAAGTGACACTTTAAGAATGGAGAAACCAGGCAGGCAAGCTAGCTCAGTGGGTAAATACGTATGCTGCCAATCCTGATGACTCCAGTTCAGTCCCCAGGACCACATGGTAGGAGAGAATTGACTGCAAAAAGCTGTATTCTAACCTTCACATGAACACTGTGGCATCTGATCTCTGCCCCACTTCTGTTAAACTAAAAAAAGAATGGGGCCAGGTATGGTGGCAAACACCTTTCATATCAGCACTTGGGAGGCAGAGGCAGGTGGATTTCTGTGAGATCAAGGCCAGCCTGGTCTACATAGTGAGTTATAGGCCAGCTGGGGCTACAGGGAGACCCTGTCTCAAAAAAGACAAATAAATAAGGAATGGAGAGAAGGGCATGGGATGTAGCTCAGTGGTAGAGAGTTTGCCAAGCATGGAAAGCCCTAGATTTAATCCTTAGCTCAGTTAAAATAAATACATAAACAAGCCAGAGAAGAGAGAGTCTGAAAATTCACAGCAGATACTGGAGAATATAGAATACTGCCGAATTCTGTGATGTTTGGACAGCTAATCAGGGGACAATCCATAAATACTAGTAATAAATCATAATCATAGGGAAAGAGGTCTGGAAAATCTGCTTTGAAACATTAGTTGGTGCCATTTACTTAGGGATAAGGGCCTGGCAATGGGACTCAGGAACGCCCATTGGGGTCAGAGAAGGTAGAAAGAAACTTATTAGCTGAGAGGGTGTGAGCATTTTGGGGAAATAAGGTAGTCTGCTTCATCATTTTAGAACATTGGAAAGTGCATGTAGTGATCAGGCGATGTGATCACAACACAGAACAAGGCAAGGGGTAAAATGCTAGAAGGAAAGTTTTGTTTCTCTTAAACCTAGTTCAGCACAGGTGGACTGTTCACAGAGTAAAGCTCTTTGCTTGCTCAAAGTAGAGTTATTAAGATAAAGAGCTGCAGGGAAAATTTGAGATAGGTTTTTATTTTGTTTTTAACAAGGTCTTGGTCTAGCTCAGTCTGGTAGGACTGGGCTTGACCTCACTGAACTCCTCCTGCATCAGTCTCCTAAGTACTGGGAATGAGGATATGAGCCATTACACCTGGCAAAATGTGAGATCTTTGAAGAATTTTTTTTTTGTGTGTGTGGTTCTTTTTCCATAGGTCTGTCATCTTTAGGAGACATCGTAATAAGCTTGAAAAATCTTATCTTTGCTCTATGTGCGGACAGTTACTGCTTAGTTTCTGAGCTACCACTAAGACCACTTAAAATAATTTTGAATAATATATTTTAAGAGTTTTCGTATACATTTTCTAGAAGTAGTAGGCCATAAATTATCATACATATGGCAATAAAAGGCAAACCCAACTGTTTGGGGAAGTTGACTAAGGCTTTCGGAATCCCGAAACCTTCACAAGACGACGCCTAGCATTATGTTGGCTGCTGACACAAACACACGCTCCGGCCCAAATCCTTAAATTCTGGCTTCGGCCCACGAAGTGTTACTGGTTTCCACAGAGCTGGAGGGATGCGTCCGGAGCCGCCCAAGTTTCCTCTTGTCGCTGGGGAGACGCCAGGGAAGTTGGGCGAGCCAGGCCGGGGCACTCCCCCCGGCACTGTTTACGTTAAGTTCCTGGCCGAACCACAACTCCCAAGCTGCACCGAGGGTCTAGAGCCTCCAGAGGGGCGGCTTCCGGTTCGGGCCGGTGCGCTTGAGCACGGAGTGTGGTCTGATTGGCTCCAACCTCCTCGTGCGATGCGCGTCAAGTTGACGCGCAGTCGCGGGGGCGGGGCGACGCGGTGGCGGCGGTAGCGGTCGCGGCGGCGCGAGCACAGTCCCGACGCGGCAGCGCGGTGGCGGCGGCGGCTCCACCGGGCGGCCCCCTCCCTTCGCGCCCTCTCCCCTCCCCTCCGCGCTGCTCCCCTAGGCGCCGGACTCCACTGAGGGGCTGTGGAGGGAGAACGCGGTTTCCCGGGCGCAACGGATTAGTCGGAAGGTGAGGCTGAGGGACAGGTGTCCCCGGCGCGGGCCGGGAGCTCGCGCTTGTCCGGCCGGGAGCTCGGCGGAACTCTGCCCTACGGCCGCGCGGGGGCCGGCTAGGGGGGTGTGGGGAGGGCGAGGGCCGCGCTCCTTGCAGCTGCTGTCACGGCTGCTCGGTGCACTCGCAGCTCAGCGGAGGCTCGGAAGCTCCTGGCACTCAGACTCTCCTCGCCCCCGGGGCCGGTGCCCTTCCGGACTGGGCGCGACGGGAACGGTGTCTGTCACTTCTAGGATTCTCCGGGCGGCCGGCTTGGTTCTGGACTCGGTTCTACTTTTTGGCGACTGGGATGGGAAGGGTGCCCTCACCTCTCCTTAGGTGGCGCTTCTGGCAGCCGCTGCGGGATAGTTGGTGGGCCCAGTTTTCTCCACCCCGACGGGCTTTTATCTATCTGCCAGGGTTAGCTTGTTTGGGACTTGCTGGGAACGGTCCTAAAACTAAGTTTTTAGGGGTCCGAGAGTTGATTACATCCTTTTCTCTTTTCGGGCTTTTTGACCTTGATTTTTGCTTCTGGAGTTTGACAACTTCACGAGAGGGTCGAACTGTGAAATATTTGGTAGAAAGATGACATGCCCAACTTGGATTCGATGGGGGTGCATTGCTTCGCTGGGAGTTTTGATAATGCTTTCAGTCGAATGATCTCTTAGTTTTATTTTCTTTCTTGTAGATGTCTCATCACTGTATTTTTTTTTAACTTTTAAAATTCAATCGAGTTTGTGTGTGTGTGTGTGTGTGTGTGCGCGCGCCGCGCCTGTGCGCCCGTGCGTGTGTGCGCGTTCATGATGGGGGAGTGCTACACATGCCTGGCTCTAGCAGGTGTAGAGGTCAGATGACAACTTTATAAAGTTGGTTCTCTGCTGACTTCAGTGGATTCCGAGGATAGAACTCTGGCCTCCAGGCTTGCTTGGCAAGCGTCTTTACATGCCAAGCCATCTTGGCATGTGTCATCTTCAATATACTTTCCTAAAGCAGACTGGCCACCTCTGCCTCCCAGGAAACTTGTTTAAATACACCAAAGTTTATTTTTTAATGATATTTAAAGTTATTTGATTGTAAAACTCTCCCAGTTAAATGGGGTTTGAGGGTTTTTTTTTTTAATTTTATTTTTTTATTTTTTGAGGCAGGATCTCAGTCTTGTAGCACTGGTTGGCCTGGAACTTATGCAGCCTAGGCTGGCTGACCTCAAACTTTAAGGAATCTCCTGCCTTAGTCTTCTGAGTGCTGAATTACAGGTCCCAACCACCACATCAAACCCTAATAAAAAGTTAAAAAGAAATTCCTTCAACTCAAAGCTTTTTTGTTGTTGATTTTGAGACAGGTTGTAATATGTTGCCCAGGCAAGCCTTGAATTCTTTTTTTTTCTTTAACACAGGGTTTCACTATGCATCCCTGGTTGGTGTGGAACTTACTATGTAGCCCAGGCTAGCCTTGAACTCAGAGATCCTCTTGCCTCTGCCTCCCCAGTGATGTAGTCTTGAATCATTCTCATTCTCATTCTCCCCGCTCCCCCTCTCATCTTCGTTTCTGGCCTGAACCTCCCTTGTAGATCAGGCTGGGCTTGCTCTCACAGAGATTTGCAGCATCTGCTAGGATTAAAGGTCCAGCTAGTGTTGAATTCTTAATCCTGTCTCCTTCTGCCTCTGGAATGTTGGGATTATGGGCAATGCCCCACTCAAAGCTTTATTTTTATTTTGCTTATTTTTTTGTCTTTTTGAGACGGTCTCCTTGTAGTCCCAGCTGCCCTGAAACTCACTGGACCAGGCTGGCCTCCAGCTCACAAAGATCCACCTGTCTCTGCCTCCCAAGTGCTGGGATTAAAGGCTCCACCACACCCTGCTAAAGCTTTATTTTTAAAGGGAGATTATAGATTTGTCAGTTCTAAAGTTTAGGGTATCTTTTTATGAAAGGACACCTTAAAGTTTCTTTACAACCCTCTGACTCCTGATTAGAAGATAATTCTTATTTTCATTCTTTCAAATTTGTCACAGTGCTGACTGTGATGATTTGTAAACTAAAATTATTCCTTGTGACTTCCACTCATATGGTGGCCACTTAGCTGATTGGTGGTGAATTATGAAATTTGAGAAATTCAAATTAAATATGAAAGACGTCTTTCCAGCTTCTGTTCGTAACTGACTACCCACCAGTGCATTTCAGTCTTTGGGCTGTTTAGTAGCAGATTTTGTCTTCTGTGGATGAGAGTAAGATTTCTAGAGCTTACAGAGTTTGTATTTTTTTTTAAGGTGGGCTCATGTGAATTTGTAAATGAATGTATTTTTTTTTCAAATTTGTAAATGAATGTATTTTTTTTTCATGAGTTGCACCAATTTAGTGCCCTTTCTTTAGAATAAGTCATATTTTGTTTCGCTAAATGAAAATAGTTCTTTTTATTTCAGAGGTTGACAAACTTTACAACCTCAGGTCAAGTCCTGCCTGCTGTCTGTCATAAATAAAGTTTTTACTGGAACATAGCCACATGCAGTTGTTTAGGTATTATCTGTGTTTGCTATTGGGGTACAACGTTGAGTTTCATAGTTGTGACAGACTATCTAGGCTAAAATATTTATTATCTAACCGTCAATAAAAAGAAGTCACTGTATATTTAAGGCTACAGTTGTACATATCTGTAATCCTAGTACTTGGGAGGCCAAGGCAGTAGGACTCTTGAGTTTGAGACCCTGTCTCAGAAAAAGTGTGTGGAGGAAGCATATTCAGTGTAAAAAAGTCAGGAAAATATAAAAGGAAGTGAAAATTGTCCAGAATTGTACTATTGTACTATTGGGATGTACTATTAGAGGGTGATTTTTGTTATTGTGGAAATTATCCTTATAGAATCTTGGTAATCATCTTTAAAAAGATTTATTTTATTTTGTGTGTATAAGTGTTGGCCAGAATGTATGTATGTGTTCCACCTGCATGCAGTGCTCATGGAGGCCAGAAGAGTATATCAGATCTCCTAGAATCTGAGTTACAGGCAGTTGTGAGCTGCCTTGTGCGTGCTGGGAACCAAACCTGGTCCTCTGCAAGAACAGTACATTCTCTTTCACTGCCAAGTCATCTCTTCAGCCCCTTGGTAATTATTTTTTTTGTGAGTGGCTTGTATTGTTAAATGTTGGTTGGTTTATAATCTGCTTTTTCTTTTTAAACAAAGGTTTATTTTATTTTTAATATGTGTATATGTGTTTGTGTGATGGTATATGCACATGTGGATGTGGGTGATAGTAGAGTCCAGAAGAGAGTGTTGGATGTCCTGGAGCCACCTGATGTGTGTGATGAGAACCGAACTCAGGTCTTTGCTTGAGCCATCTCTCCAGTCCCAATCTGCTGGCCTTGACCTCACTCTGCAGGTCCTGGGGGTTGAACTCAGGTAATCAGTGACTTTATGGGATGAGTTGTCTTGCTGGCCTGGGTTTATTTTAAATGAAGGCTATAGATGTTCCTAAAAGTAACTTGTTGGCCTGCGGGATGGCTCAGTGGGTAAGATTGCTTGCTGTTTAAGCATGAGGACCTGGGTTCAGATCCTCAGACCCCAGGTAAAAGTCCTATAACTCTAGCACTGTGGGGGTGGAGACAGGAGGAGGCTTGCTGGGCTTGCTAGCTGCCAGTCTAGATCCAGGTTCATAGAGAGAGTATATAAAGGAATAAGGTAGAGAGTGATAGATCGGAATACCCAACACCCTCCCCTGGCCTCTGTGGTGTGTGTGCATGGGCACAGGTGCGTATGCACACAGAGTAACTTGCTCTTCATTACTGCCTGTTTCAGTATCTTTCCCTTTGGACTTTTCTGGGAGAGCAGAACTAAATTTTTTTCCTTGGTTGTGCTCTATTTTCTGGAAGTCTTAAGCCGCTTTGGGTGTATGTACCTCCTTGGACATGTTCAGTTTCTTGGAGTGTTTTTTTTTTTTTAAATAATTTATTGAGAATTTCATACAGGCATATAAGCATATAAAATGTTTTGATCAGATCCATGCCCACTCCCTTCTTGGAGTGTTCATGCTGCTCCTTGCTGAAGCAGTGGTCCCTGGCAACCCACTCATTGTATGATTTTTCTGCATTCTCTTCTTTTTTCTCAGTTAATGCTCCTGGAATGGAATCTTTAGCACCCAATTTTCCATATTTCCTGCATCTTTGACTTTTATGGAGCCCTCTTTGGGCTTACCCTGGAATTTTATGGCAGACATTTGAGGATTCAGAAGAAATGTATCAAAATTGTATCATACAAATCTTTACTTTTGTATGTGTGTTTGTAGTATGTGAGTGTGGTGTATGCATACTGTGGCCATCATCACTTAAAAATATTTATGTATATATGTGTGTGCCTGAGTGTATTTATGTGCACCACATGCATGCAGGAGCCTTTTGAAATCAGAAGAGTGTTGGATCCCCCAGAACTTGAGTTACAAGCAGTTGTGAGCCACCATATGGGTGGTGGGAACCTAACCTGGGTCCTGTGCAGGAGCGGCCAGTGATTTTAACCTCTTGAGCCATTTATCTAGGCCCTTATCACTTATCTTTGTTTTATGCTAGGCCAGGTATTGAGCAAGATTTTTTATACCTGGCTAGAGGAACATTGGACTGTTACCTTAAAAATTAAAAAGCTAGAGAGATGGCTCAGCAGTTAAGAGCAGTCAGCACCCACATGGTGGCTATGAACTGTCTTTAACTCCAGTTCCAGGGGAATCTGAAGCCCTCTTCTGACCTCTGTATCATTGCATGACACGGGTGCACTTACATACATGCAGGCCATGCACTCATACACATAAAGTAAAAATAATAAAATATTTTTTTAAAAATTAAAAATATATATCGTGGGTGGGTGTGCGCGCGCGCGTGTGTGTGTGCATGTGTGTGTGTGCGTGCGTGCGTGCGCGTGCGTGCACCAGTCATCACACACTTGTGAAAGTCAGAGGACAACTTTGCAGTTGATTCTCTTCTACTTTTATATGAATTCTGAGACT